TGTGTGTGTGTGTGTGATACACGAGGCGCGAGCAATCGCACCTGCACCCACAACCTCATACACGCCACGCCAGGAGTACCTCGCGCCAGAGGGTGAGGCTCTGCAGGACGTATTGGTACTGGTTGCGGTGCGAATGTGTCAGGCGTGCATCGTTGGTGCCAGCCGTAATCGCAAGCGAAAACCTGTACAAATGGTGGGCAGGGAAGAGAGTGTGTGTACTTGTGAGAATCACGCAGTGTGAACGTAGTGTCCCACGCAACAAGAACAACTGCCAAGTGTGCGGCGCACACGCAAAATCAACACCACCCATCATCCTTCCAGGGGCACAGTGCACGCGTACCCTGGCTCTGGGTGGTCTGGATCAAAGAACTTCTTGAGGCAGGCGATCATGTAATCGATGGGGAAGCGGTTACAGCGCAGATAGCTGTTGTTGTCCGACATGCTGTACAGGCACCACTTGATGTCATCCTTCGACATGTGCCTGTTCTGGTACTTGCGGGCGATGATCTCCTGTGCGCGCTCCTTCGCCTTGATTTCCCGCTGGATCTGCGGCCGCGTCTTGCCTGCGGAGATGGGAGCGTATTGGCGTGTGTGTGTGTGTGTGTGCAAGTGTGTGTGTGTGTGTAAGTGTGAGAGTGTGTGTGTCAGTAAGTGTGTATGTGTGAGTGAGTAGGTAAGCGCGCGCGCGCGCGCGTGTGTGTGTGTGTGTGTGTGTGTGCTATCAGCAAGCAATGCATGATACAAGGCAAAACACGACGATGGCGTTAACAACAATACGTGCGCACATGCATTGCATCACAACACCAGCCCGACCTTCTGGCAGAATCTCCATGGTTGCTGTCGCAAGGTCGGGGTGGGTCAGAACACCAAGGCACTGCGCAGCGGCAATGTCGTGATGGCGCAGGTGAGGGGGTGGAGGGTCGCGGCAACAGAAGGCAGCAGTAAAAGTGGTCCGCAGTGACATTGCCGCAGTGAAAATGGCCGCAGTCATCAACACACACACACACATACACCACAACACAGCAACACGACACAACACAACCAAACAACAACACAACCACACACACACACACATACACACGACACAACAACACGACACAACACAACAACACACTCACACCCGAACACACACGCGTCTGGTGCTTACGTTTGCGTCGCGCAGCTGCGAGTAGACGGTAACGATTTCATCGCGAATGGTGAAGCCGAGGAGTTGCTGGATGTCGGCATCCAGCGCGTCCTGCATCATCCAGATGAGCTTGCCATATGTTGTGCGCATCAGATTCGGATTCATGATCTTGTACCGCCGCGCAAGCTCAAACACCTGCGGCGAATGGATGGTGGGATGGGGCGGTGAGTGTGGTGAGTGTCATAATGTTGGTGGGTGGGATGGGGTGTTTTGTGGTGTGTGTTACGAGCGCTTTGCAGCGTGGATTGTATGTTGCGCTGGGATCCACTCAAACAAGATACGCCCATCCCATCGTGGTTGTGCGTGCGTGTGTGTGCGCGTGGCTGGCTGCTCACCTTTCGGTACCAGCGATGGTGCTTTGCAAAGTCCGACGTCCCAATCAACTTCTGGCCAATGTCGTACCCTGACGAGCGGCAGCGGTGCAGGAGGTGAGGAGACAGGGGAGCACGACCCGTGGGCATCAACCCATGTCGCACACGCGCACACACTCAAGCGCACACACTCAAGCGCACGCACGCACGTACACGCACACACACACACACACGTACACGCACGCACACACGTACACACACACATACACGCACGCACGCACGTACACGCGCACACACGCACACACTAACACACGTACACACACGAACCCACGCACACACACACACACACTCAAACGTACGTTGGCCGAGGGCGAGGGAGGTGAGGAAGGAGCAGAGGAGCTGCACGCGCTTGTGTGTGCGGCGCGCTTCGTTCTTGAAGGACGAATGGTCCACCTGGTCATGACACAATGAAATGGAGGGCGTGGCAAGTGGAGGGAAGAGGGTTGAAGTTGGTTGGTTGTTGTGTTGTTTTGCGGGGCAGCCTGACACTCCTCTCCACAGCCATCGACACATGCGCACAGGCAAGTGCAAATTGCAGACACACGCAAACACATACACACACACACATGCACACGTGTGAACAAGGGCATTACCAGGTCTGTGTAGTGGCTGACGTTCAGGCACGCCTCCACCAGGCGAAGCTGATGATATTGGGGGGGGGGGGGGATGATGGTGTATGATTGACGCACACGCAAGCACACAACGTTAAGGGCGAGTCGGTATTGAAGGGAACGAGTGACGCAAACAACTTGAAGCACGCATCATTTCGTCATCACACACACACGCACACACACACACACACGCACACACACACCGCGGGCTCACCAGTTTGCGCTCCTTGAGGGTTAGGCGAACGGGGATGTACTTGGCGCGCTCAACAAACCACTACAGGGACGCAACACAAGACAATTGATCGTGTTAGCAGCCGCTAGACTGTGGTTGTAATGTGTTCACCAAATTGCACACACACACACACGCACACTGACGCACGCACACACACACACACATGCACACGGATGCAGGCACACACACATATGTGCACAAGAACACACACACGTACACACTCTCACTAACAGGTACATGGTGCCAAACGTGCATGAACGGGCTGTACCTCTGGGGAGTTTCTCTTCAAGTAGAGCAGTTCAAGCGGATCGCGTCTTGTTTCTGACACGTCCTCGTCCTCGTCTTCGTCCTCGTCCTCGTCCTCGTCTTCTTCACCACCGTGGCTGTGGTGCCGTGCATGCTGTTTCAGTGCTGTCATGTCAAGCACTTTCTCCTTTGGTTTCGCCGTGTGCGACGCGCGTTTGCCTGGTGGGGCACCGCCAATCATGCATGCAGGCAATGCCGGATGCCGTAAGGTCCAAGACACAGATGCAGCATCATAGCATTGCGAGTTCAATTCAGCACACGACACACATACACACACACACACAGGGAGACACGTGCGCACACGCACATAGGCACACACAATCCAAACACGCACACACACAATCCAAACACATACACAATCCAAACACACGCACAATCCAAACACGCATGCACGTACACACCTTTCCTGTGCAGCATGGTGAAGCATGCGTCACAGTACTCATCGTTGCACTCAGCACAGTCCACCTTGGCCGGCCTGTCCTCGCACTCCACGCACATGCCCACCACATGGTCGCTCTCGTCATCATCCGGAACAGCGGGCCGGTGCACGGATGACGTCACCACTCCTTCGGCCTCTTCGTCCTCCTGTCCTTTCTCGGCCACGCCCCCACTGCCTTCACTGCCACGTGTCACCTGCTCATCTGCTGCTGTTGCGGCCGGCTCGCGTACATGCGTTCCGTTGCGCCTGTCGCTCTTTTCCTCCTTTGCGGCCTGTGCCAGCACCCGTTGCAACGCCGTCATGTTGTCTTCATCACCATCACCATCACCATCGCTGTCGCTGTCACTGCTGTCATCACCATCACCACCATCGTCATCATCATCATCGTCATCGTCATCATCATCCTGTTGCTGCTGCTGCTGCTGCTGTTTGAATGCGCTGCCGTTCACGCGGGGCTGTTCCTGCTGCGCTGGTGCTGCTGTTGTTGTTGATGGCGCGGTTGGCTTGTCGCTGCTACCACCGGTCGCGGTCGTGCGCTGCGATGGCACAGTCTCAGTTGCTCCATCATCATCATCACCACCAAAATCGCCAGCAGTCTGCTCATGCACCCCTCCATTGACACCACCACCACCATCACCATCGACAGTGGTGGTGGCCACAGCGCTGGCGTGCGCGCGCGTGCCCTCGCTGTTGTCTGCGCGATCCGCCATCCCTTCCTGATGGAATCGAATCTGACGAAATGCAGACAAGTCCACCACAGGCCTCTTCTTCCTCTCCGCCAACTGCTCCTGCTCCTGTCGCTGCTGCTGTGACGGCGACCGTACTCGTGCTTGGACTGTCTTGTTGTTGTTGCTGCTGCTAGTGGTGTTGTTGCTGTTGGTGTTGCTGGTGTTGGTAGTTGCTCCCCTCTTGACGACGGCGCGCTTTGGTGACGGCGAACGCGCGTGTGCGTGTGTGTTTGAGCGGCTGGCGAGCTGCTGGGAATCCTCCAATCGCGACGTGCTGCTCCTGCTGCTGCTGTTGTTGTTGCCGTTGCTCCTGTGCTTCACGTCCTTTGTGTCTCGTCTGTACCTGTTGCTGGTGTCGTTGTCGTGTACCCGGTCGCGGTGATGGGACGAGCGTCTGCCGTCCGCGCGTGAGCTTGAACGCGTGTAACTCCCGCTTCGCCTCCTCCTGTACTCACGATCACGATCGCGATCACGGCTACTGCTGCTGCTGCTGCTGCGCTGTTTGTCGTCGCTACGGCGTGCAGGGAGCGGCTTTGGCGGCCTCACGTGACGGACGTCTCTTGATGGGCGTCGATGCGCTGTTGGAATGTCAGCGCTTGGACTGCACCGCCTCACCGTAAACTGCACCCGTGATGGGCGGACAACCGTGCGAGTGAGGGTTGGTTGACATATGGGGTTGTGACACGAGCACGACAAAACGGAATGCACAATGTCCATCAAGCAACACACGCGCAAACACATACACACATGCACACGCACCTTGCTTGTGCTTGTTGGCGGGGTGAGTGAGTGCGAGTGGCGAGATTGGCTGGAGTGTCGCCGCTCCGGGCTGGCGTCCCTGCTCCTGTGCTTGTGCTTGTGCTTGTGCTTGTGCTTTCTCTTGTGCTTGTGCTTGTGCTTGTGTTTGCTCTTGTGACTGTGTTTGTGCTTGTCGCGGTCACTGCTGCTGCTGGTGCGCCTGCTCTTGCTGGCTTCAGCACTGCCCAGGTACTGCAGCTTTGTGTCTGGGTCACGGTGGTTGCTGCTCTTCTTGTGCTTCTTACTCTTCGTTTTGTGCTTCTTCCTCCCGTGGCTACTGTTGTTGGTGCTGCTGCCACCACTCGTGCCGTTCGCTGTGGAGTGGCTGCTGGTTTGGGGTGCACTTTCCGCTGATCGTCTCCGTGCACTGGCCTCCTGCATTGACGTGAGAGCATGCATGAGTCGAACGAGTGCGTGAGCGAGCCAAAGCACACCGCTGTTGCCATGCGCTTGTGGTGTGTGTGTGTGTGTGTGTGTGTGTGTGTGTGTGTGTGTGTGTGTGTGTGTGTGTGTGTGTGTGTGTGTGTGTGTGTGTGTGTGTGTGTGTGTGTGTGTGTCTGCACATGTGCGTGTATTGTTTTATGCATGCGTCTCGATGGTGGTGGCGTTTGGTGTTGGTGTTGCGTCGTGCCTTCATCACCACCATCACCATCACCATCAGCACCATCACCATCAATGTTGCAGGACACAAACCGTCACACCGAAACACACACACACACACACGAGCACATGGGCGCAAACGTACCTCGGCCCTTCCGGACAGGCTCATGCAAAGGAGGCGAGCAGATGGGACCACAAACCCACTTTGATGGTATGCTGTGCCGCGCTGTATCCTACTGTGTGCACCACGCGTCTCACATGCATCCACCCCCAGTTTGTGTCACAACCACCACAACGCACGA